CTTTTTTATGTATCTTTTTTTTTTTTTTTAAACTTTAGAGTGTAACATCTTCTTGTGTTTGTACAGTGCCTGGGACACTGTGATTGCTGCTGGAAACAATATAAATGTTCCATCTGGACTGCAGCCTCAGACTGGCAGACGGAATTAGTCTCAAAGAGATACAAATTTTGCTCTCTACTAAATCAAACCAAATTTTATCAAGATTCTAAAAGGTTTCTTTAACATACAGTGATAGAGGAACACAAAGCTGCTTTCCAACACTTTATAATAGCCCTCTACTTCTGAGTGTCACAAATACATTGTGCTCTTTGGTTCCAGTATATTTGAGAAGCATTTAGGAACACAATGCCTGTAGGAACAGATCTCTAGTAATAAATATTGTGTTAATAGGACCTTACACTTGAAGACTTAAATAATGATGTCGCACAGATGAATCTTCTGTAAGGTTCAAATAAACGAGTCTGCTGTGTATTAAGACAAAATGACTCTAGGTGCTTCTTCCAAGGTCTTATTTTGCATGTCAGTTAAGAAAACAAGGAAATTGAAGGAAAAAAAAAACCCTTGCATACCCAGCTTGCAAAAATGATCTTAAACTGAATCAAGCTGTGCAGCTGTGTTCTTAATTTGCTTCCCATTCTTTCATCTTCCCATCTTCTCAAGAGTGAGTACACAAAATGCCCTTAGTTACTAACAGTCTAAACTGTTTGACGCCAGATATTCAAGAGGTGTATTCCTGGTCAATCCAGACTGAAACATTCATCACCTAAAACAGCTCAGTAAGCTCCTTTTACTGAGAAAGGTGAAACTTAGGCATGCTGAACAGAGCGAATGTGATGTTTTTCTAAGAAGGTATCTATTAATATGAAGACTGTATCATACTGTTTTAATTAGGCACTATGAACGTCAACAACTTTAGTTCATAAATATACCCCCAGATGTTCTGAAGCTTACAGAGAGACACTGTCTGGTCTTTCTAGGCCTAACATTAGGAATCCCCTGATATATGAATAATACCATGCAGAATGCTGATTGTGCCCCAAGACTTACTACATTTGAGTTTAGGAAGAGTTTGCCCTGGAGAGAAGCGTAAGCCTGCTGACTGTTGTAAAACTAAAACTGTGAAGAATCACAGTGGATTTTTAATTACTGAAGTGATCAAGCTTGAAGCCATGCTATTACTTACTGACATTGGAGTGCCTTACCTCTTAGTGTTCCCTGATGTAATTTTATGAGACCCAATCACAGCATAAACACAGTTTTTCGGTAGTTCAACAATTATGCAAGGAAGGTAGTATATTTGTAGTTTCATTTGTAAGTCAGGTAAACCCTGCTTGTATACGAAGCTATTCCCAGATGAACCAGAGTTCTTTATACATAATTTAATATGAAAAGTGGCTGCAGAAAAATTGCCTAAAAGTTCATGCTGCAAATCACTTTTGTCCATTATAAAAACTGCTATAAAACAGTGAATCAAAAGTGGCTGCCATATCGGAAAAACTGTGCAAAGCCTGTGAAATTGTTATCCAGATTTGAAACTAGCCCCTCTAAATTTTTATGTGCCTGATAAGGCTGTGTGTTCTGTCTTATTCAGGGAGAACTTTAAGTCCTGCAAACCCAGTTTTAAATTCTCGCTTCATAGGGCCTCCTATTATGAGATATCAGTTGATGATGGTCCTTGGGAAAAACAGAAGAGTTCAGGGCTTAATGTGTGTACTGGAACAGGATCAAAAGCATGGTAAGTACACGTTGCTGCTTTGACGCAAAATACCACTTCAGATAAGTTAGATGGACCTATTTTGCTTAAGCATTTTGTCCATACTGAGACTCTTGGGCTACGGGTAAGTCAGTGCATGTCAGTTATGTCCAAATATTCTCACTGTCAGTATGATTCAAAGCTGTCTCAGGTGTATGAGAAGAGCAGAGCACCCCTGACTTGCAGGTATGTAGAGAAGAGTTGAAAGGGTGAGGAGCTGTGGCATTGAGACAGAAGTTTACCTTAGGTGTAATTTTGGTGGAAGAGATTGCACGCAGCATGTGGAGATGAATGGTTGAGGGTGGCAAGGGAAAGAGATTCTGCTCTGACTTGCAATTTATTGAGGGGATCTCTGACCTACTCGTGTTGGCTAAAATAAAATGCTTAGATGAAGTAGCTCAGAAAACTTACAAAAATCTAAGCTCTAAGAAGAATGGGAAAACATGTACTTGGAAACAGTGTTAAGTGTTCTCTGGCACATCTACTGTCCTTTCTCCTTCTAAGCCTCTTGCCTCTTTTAAACTTAATTGAAAGGGCACAGACTCTTTGCCAAAATATGCCCCTTAAACGAAGACGGGCATATCTAAGCAGAGCTGTGCTAGCTTAATCGAAGGGGTAGATTATCTTAACTTCAGTTTAAACAAGCTGCAGTACTGCATGTAAGTCTAATCAATTTAGTTTTGAGATGTGAGAGATGTGTACAGTGAGAGTCTTTGATTTGGAAATCTGGCTGTGCTTATGGTTTAAAGTTGTACAACAGGCCCTGGATTTATGTGGCAGGCTAAGATGAACTAAAACTGAAGCTTTTAATGAAATTCAAAAATGAATATTCATGCTATAACCATGGTTACTGGGTTTTACTCTTCATTGTAATTCAGAATTTTGTATTCAGTCAGCATAACTTAGTCCTGGAGGCTGCCAAGGATGAAATTGGCAGACTGCTAGGGGAACTTTCCTAGTGTTCAGTACCTTGGGAATGTACAGTCTTAGTTCAAAGCTGTTCTTAGGTTTTCATTTGCTTATACACTCTGTACTGAGCAATCCCAGAACCAGGGACCAAACTCCAGGATTGCCCATCTCCATTGCTGTAATCAGTGTGTACTGCTGGACTTCTCTAAACCAAGGCCAAGCCTCAGTGGGGTGATCTTCCTTGGTTTAGGGGCTCTCCTGGGATTTCAGACCTCCTTGGACTGAGAGGCATTTAAACATCTAAGTGCTTCCTTCAGCTGCCAAAACTTGCATAAAAGGATATCTAGTTGAGAGAGAGAACAATTTCAAACTGTGCATCTCAGTTTCTTGCTGGCATCTGCTCAGGCTTGCAGGTAGGCAGTAAGTGTAAGAGAAGGAGCCTTGGACAACCTCCAACACCCTCAGCAGCTCTGTAGTCTGTTAGATGTATAGTGGATGTCTGTTGCAGTCTGAGGTGTTTTACTGACATGACGGAAGTGCTGGACTGAGGATTTTAAGCTGTATTGATACCTGGACAACTGAGATGTTCACAGTACTGCTGCACAGAGGCTGTGATTCGTACCTAATCCCTTTTGAGCCTGGGCACAGGAGGGAGACTTCTATTGGAGTATAGACTTGATTCAGACTGAGGCTTTATACTGACTTGCTGCGCATCCAAATGTGGCAAATGCAAAAGTGTCTGACCTGACTGTTCCTTTTCTATATACACTGATTCTTATGAGATTCAAGCCCACACCTTAGGGTACGGACAAAGAGGCATAATATTTGTAAAGAAACGTTGAGTCTCATAAATGAGAACTAACAGAAGGAATTAATTTGCAAGAGGTGTATAGAAGGGCTAAGAACACATACAATCTGTAGAACTGTCATGCTTCAGTTTTTTTAATGTAGACTTAAATCATCAATTACTGGGGTTTTAAGGCAGGAGGATTATTGATAAGGAGACTACATCCTGTGTATCATGCTCTTCTTTCCTGAAGAGTTCACTTAATGGATTATTAAGGGTTACAAAGCTACAGGTAGATGTCAAACCAAGAGTTAATTTAAGGCATTTTTTTGAAGAAACTGATGTCAGGTCACACTTAATAGCATTCTTTATTTTTTTTTTCTTCCTGATGTTGAACATAGTTCTTCATCTGTATGCAAGATTTTTTGGGTTGTTTTTGTTTTGGCTTTCTCCCAAGTTGTACTGCTTAGCAAACAAGACTCTACTTCTCTGTCTAGGTCCTATAATATTAACAAGGTAGCACATCAAGCTGTTGAAGAGATCCTTAAGATCGGTGAGTGAACAGTGTGGCATTACTGGCCAACTTTATAGATAAAGACACACCTATCTAATTGGGGCTCTTTCTCTTGGCTCAACAGCTAAAAAGCATGGAAGTTTGAATATGCCATTGAACACGGAACTAGTACAAAAAGGTTAGTGAAAAAGGCAAGATTTCTTTAAGGTGTCTTAACTTTGACCAGTTCATTTTGTTCGTACTCTTAATACTCGGCACTGCTTTCAGTATTTTAGCGCTCTTGCAATATTAGTCTTTGTTACAAACATTATTTAGGCACATTTGGTGAAAAATGTCTGACTTGATGTGAAAGCACTTATTTAGACTTTCGTATGTATAGATCTTCAGGAGAATTTCAGTTCTCCTAAGATTTGAGACACTTAATATTTAATCATCTGAAGAGAGCTGTTGAGTGTTTGTCATGCAATAGAACTGAAAGGAAGCTTCTGTGAGATTAATTTTTTTTGCAGGTGAAGGCTATTAAACATCTGTCAAGACTCAATATTCCCTCTTGGTAGGGAACCTGCTCTTTCCTGGAGGAATGTGTGTTTCTGAGAATAACTTATTTTCTCTGGAAAAACTAATGGCTGATTTCTCTATTTACAGTAACAAATGATTACAATGAGTCCCTGCTCTACAGTCCAGAAGAACCAAAGATGTTTTTCAGTATTCGAGAACCTATTGTAAACAGAGTTTTCTCAAGTAGCCGGCAGCGTGGCTTCTCTTCAAAGTAAGTGTTGGCTGTAGCAGTCACTGAAGATTTATTTCATTGTGTGTATTTGTCAAAGTATGAGCAAGTCAGGAGTTTCCCTTGAAGTGTTTCAACATCCAGTTTGTGTTTTGAGGGGCTTGAGTACTGTTCTCATAACAACAGGAAGAAAATGTTTCCAAGTTGTGTTATGTCTTTTTAATGTTTGATCCATGCACAATCTTACAGAATAAAAGAATCTCACTGTGCCTAGTTTTGGGTGTGTGCCATTTCCCTCAGTATGAGACACAGACATTGTCTGTGAATGGAGTGAATTCAAGAAAGGGCCACTGAGATGATTAGAGGGTCAAAACACATGGCATATAAAGGAGAGACTCAAACGGTGCTTTTGTTTAACCTGGAGGAGACAAGACTGAGCAGGGTGGATCCAGTTGCTGTCTTCAGCTACCAATGATGGTTACAGAGGAGACTGAGTTAAACTCTTTTCAGAGCAGAATATGAGGCAACAGCCATGATTTTATAGGATGTAAGATTCTGATAAAAAAAGGAAAAATTCTTCACAGTGGGAATGGTCAGGCAGTAGAACAGGGTGCCCAGAGATTGTGCTATCACTGTCCTTGGAGACAGTCAAAACTTGACTGGGCAAGGCCCTAAGCAACCTAATCTGTCTTTGAAGTAAGGCCTGCTTTGAGTGGAAGGTTGGACTAGATGCCCTTCCAAACTAAATTATTTGGTAATTCAGTCATTTTAACTTAGGGCACTTGCGCCAGGGGAGGTTTAGATTAGATATTAGGAAAAATTTCCTCACTGAAAGGATTATCAAGCATTGGAACAGGCTGCCCAGAGAAGTGGTTGAGTCACCATCCCTGGAGGTATTTAAAAGATGTGTAAACATGGTGCTTGGGGACATAGTTTAGTGGTGGACTTGGTAGTGTTAGGTTAAAGGTTAGACACTATGATCTTAAAGGTCTTTTCCAATCTAAATGATTCTATGATTCTATGATTTTTTTGGAGCTTGCCACAATTAAATATAAACACATGCAACTGTTAATTATATGTTCAGAATAACTATGTTGAGAACAATACAATATCTCAGTATTGACTAAATGTTAATTCAACCTTTTATATCAAATGTCTAAAGGAGCTCTGACTCGAAGGAGACCCAAATTCTGCTCCTTTTGAGCCACATCAGTGTTAGAACAACATTTTATGACCTAGTAATAAAGGACATCTCTGGCTACTGGGACTAAATATTATGATATTAGATGCCCACTGTGTATGTGTCATGTCTTTAAATGTTTACTGCTTCTTAAGTCATTTGGATCAGGGAGTTCTCAAGGGTGAGTAAATCTTAAGAGATGGTAAGAGGAGAGGTTAAAATAGGAGCAAATAACTGCATTTTCATCCATGGGTTCTACAGGACTAAGTCTTGTCTTATTTGGAGTCCCCAGTGTGGGATATACTATAAAAACTATACTGGAGCTACAAATGTCTGCATACCTATGAGGGATGTGTGCCCATTTTTCCTTTTTTAAGTAGAATTTGCTGCCTGTCACAGTTGATCTTTAGCTCTTGATACTAGACATCTCCCCATTGCTGTTCTTTATCCTTTTTGACATAGTAACTGCCCAGAGTGAAATGGAGGAGTGGAACATGCCTCCATGTTCTTCTGCAGCGTCCAGACTTGTCTGTGTTTTAGTGATGCGCAGGCCAATTAAGCTTTGACACTGTGGCTGTGCTTCCAAGTTTTTCATATTTGTGAACAATGTGTCTTCCTGAAAATTTAAGTCACTGGACAATTGTTGATTAAATTTTGGAGATCAGAACAGTGTCTAGACCAAGGCCTAAGTCAGAAACAATCAAGTACATCCATGTGAGACTGCAGTCTTGCAGCTTGTCTGGCGTAACTATTGGTTCCCACCTAGCAATATGAAAAAAGTTTGGAGAACTCTTTATTTAATAGTGTTCTTGCTTTCTGCATATGTGAAAGGATACATTCCAAAGGTTAATTTTCCTTTTAAAGGTAAGTGAAGAGGAAGATGGTTAGTAGCTTTACTCTGTCTTGTCCAGCTCTAAAAGAGCTGCCTTAAGTTTTATAAGCTTAAATTTAAATTTATTAGCATATAGTAGTCAATATTGACAGTAATATGCTGCAATACGTATTTATGATGTTGCCTGGCAAGCATTCTGACCTTCAACTTTGTGTTTGAAATTACTTTCCCTTCTCTGTGTGAATGATTCATGTGACAAGATAGACTATATTAATATCCAAATTACTTGAATCTCAAGCATCGCTAGTTGAAACTGCACGTTCCACTTAACATGAAGACCATACATTAGAATCATAAATTAATTGAAAACTTTTCTGTGAAAGATTGAGCAAATCACTATTAAAAGGGCTCATCAGAAGCTTTCTTTAAAAAATACACCTGAACTGCAGCTTTCAATATCAAGTGTTATGTTACAGGTTGTTCTCAGACTCTTGGAGCAATAGTCTCCATTTGAACAAGTCCTTCAGTCCTCTGTGGACTCTTCGCTACGTCTATACAAAGTACTGATAGGTCGGGGGATTCCAGTGCTTAGTACCATGCTAAATTCTTTTCTAAGTATGCTCCTGTGTGATTAAGCATTTACTGACCCATGCAAAGGAAATGTCCAAGAACCAGTTTTACTGTTCAGATAAGTGCTTGTGTGAAATACTTAATTTTTTTAAGCTGTTTGTGAAAACTTACTTTTTTGGGTTTTTGCAGAGTCTGTGTCCGTTCCCGTTGTTGGGATGCATGTATGGTTGTAGATGGAGGAACATCTTTTGAGTTCAATGACGGGGCAATAGCTTCAATAATGATTGATACAGAGGATGCACTGTGCACTGTTCTGCTGGAAGAATGAAGGACCCTAGTGTCTTCTGCTGAAACAATTCTAGATCCAGAGAGGGAACTCCTGGAGATAGACAGCACATCACAATGCTGCATTAAGTTGGAAGTTGGCCTTTTTGGATGCAAGAGCATTTGGAGGAAGCTTGAGATGCTTTTCATTCCTTTGGGTTGGGGAAATCTTAGCCTGATATTTAAGCTCTTTTTGCATCTGGTGTAAAAGAAATATATCTGAAGTCTTACCTCTAACTTCAGTGAAAATTGACATTTTAACCTGTAAGGCAAACATGAAATAACATCTTTTTAAACACAGGTAGATGGGTTCAAGTATTAAGTCAGTAGCATTAAATATTCAGATGTACAGTTTTGTAGTAACAGTCTGGAACTGATGAAACTAAACACCTTCATTACATATACTTTTGTAGAAAAGTTGACTGTCGGTCTAGCGATTTGATGCAAAGATACATAGATTTTGGTAAATCCTGATGTTGACGTAATAGAAATGGAAATACAAACCTTTTGTATGCTTTTCAAAAATTTTACAACTTTGTAGTTTCATACAACTTGTGACAATTTTTTTTTTCTCTTCCAGTATTTTTTCTACTTTGTAAATTTACATCAAAAGTAAAAGTCTGGTTTAATCACATCTTGAATGAGGTGGCTCTTACCTTTTCGCTTTGGCTAGAGAGGGACTTGAAACCCAAAGGTTTTCTTGAGCCCTTTAAGAGGAATATAGAAACTATAGGAAACATGTTGAAGTAAGATATACTCCTTCACTCAATTGATTAGCTGGCTAGCAGGTGTTCAGTCACAGTAGTGTATGTAGGTGGCTATCATTAAGAAAGATATTTGGCCTTATTAAGTTGAATGGTTTGGAATTTTAGGTTCTGAGTTTCTTTATAATTGAAGAAGAATGAGATGTGCTGGGTGCTAGTAGTTGGAGCACAAGTCAATACCTATATGTATGTCTCCCAGTTTTCCAAGTATGTGTTTCTACCTTCCCCAGAAAGTTTAAATTTCCAATCCGATGCTGAATTCTACTGATATTTAATTGGCAACAAATTAATTTTAATTTTACATGCCTCTGATGATGTGTTAGGTAAGCAAGTTGATGATAGGAAAAAAGCTCTGATCACAGAAGAGAAAGTGACTTTTTAGATGTTTTAGAGAAACTGTGAATTATGACTGCCTTTGAAAGTCTGTGCTGGTAATTGCATAGATGAGAGGGCAGAATTTGACAAAATGAAGATTCCTACAGCAGGAACTCTTCTGCTACATGACTTGAAAGAAATGTGTTTTGTCCTGTCTACTACAGATCTATTTCCAAAAGTGAGTCGTCTTCAGACTTTTGAATGAAGAGACTTCTGTAACAGATGTTCTCAGGTCTAATGGAAATGTTCTCCAGTGTGGCCAATCAGTGTATTTATTGGCAATCACAAAATGTAAACTGATCTTTATAAGTGGAGGACGTGGATAAAGGATTTTTTCCTTCTACTACTAACATGATTGTGTTCACTCTAAACCAGAATTTAGAGGAAATTGATTTGACCAGACCATTCAATTCTAGGAAAATGTGGTAACTGATGAAGCTTTTTGAATAAGCTATCACTGTTTACATACATTTCACCTTTTAAAGTGTGCTGCAGATTGAGTCTTTACACTATCATCTGCCTGAGTTACCAGGATTGCAGACCAGAAGGGGAAAATCGTATAGGCAAATACTCTTTCAAAACTTGGTGAGTTCAGGAACTATCAGAATAAAGCTCTTAATGTATAAAATAATCTGCAAAACTGGTCTAAAGGTAAAGATGCGAAAGACTAATCTTTCTTTAGAAAGTTGGCTGCACAGAGACTAGGGCGTTTCAGTTATTCTTAATCTATCTGTAATCAGTTAAGGATGGTTTATGTGCCTCTGTCTAGTACACTAGTCAATATGCTGTTAAGATTAAAAAAAAAAACCCACAACCCACCAATGCCATTAACACTAATTTATGGCTTCCTAGGACTTCACCACTGTGTTAGATCAGAGGTTTAGGTATTGAAAGTGTCCTTGAATACCTGCATAGACAAATTTACGGCAGAAACCCCGTCTCCTACTTATTTAGAGACATTTGCTTGCTGTAATGTTTTAATGGAGACTGATTAGTCTGGTCAGGGTGCATACCTCTTAAAGATGCCTGTCATTCCTTATTGTGAATACTGAGACTAAAAGGCAATGTTTTCAGGCCCTAGAGACCCAAAGTATGGTCTGGTTTAGGACTTAATAAGAGATTTCACAGTCAAATTCCTAACTTAATTAGCAAAATGGAAACCTGACCTACTCATGAGTGGCCTCTACTGGTTTTGTCTATATTTAATTGCATTTCTGTTGAAGCATTTACTGGTGAATGCTTGACTTAATCATCCTACTTAATTTAAGAGATCTATAATAGATAAAAAGGATTCTACAATTCTTTAATAAAAAAGGTAGCTGCTTACTGTTTAAGGATCCTTTATTACAAGGGATTGCAGTACAGACAACTTACCTGGTAGACAGTGTTCCGTGACAGGACTGAGTATTGGTTTAACCCCAATTTAATCTGCCTGGACTGGCAGCAAACTCTGCACCTCTTCTACCTGCTGAATCAAATCCATGGTCTTTTCACTTAGTGCCAGCCCACACTGTGTTCTGCTAAACTAGAACGGTCATTCTTCGCTTTTTTAAAAAAGGTGGTGTTTATACATTATGTAATAAAAATTTAAAAACTTGAGATACACGAAGCTGTCCTGTGCCTTATTTCAACTTTCAGAAGTGTTTCATGTGCTCAGCCGCTTCTCACTTACTGTGCAGTTTCTTTTAAATAATGGTTTCTAAGCCCTCATGCTTTAGGTAAAATGCAGAGACTTATCTATGTAGCAGTTTTTGGTATGGATTGCTTGGAGCTCCCAAGTAACTTTTTTCAGTTAGGAAAAGGTCAGTGATGCACCTTATCCAGAGGACTTCCATTATGTGTCTGCTACAGCTGCCATCATAACCAAGAGACCTGCAATAGAAATGTTTGTCTGGGTACTTAAAAAAAAACAAGTTCAGGACTATTGCTTCTAGCTAAAGCCATACTACTATCCCAATTCTGTACAGGGTTTTAAAGCACAGTTTATTAAATGCTAAACATATTGGTTGTAACACCCTGTCTTCTAAACCACCATTGTTTAAGACGTTGCTTGGACAAATTTCTCCTTTTTAAACCCATGACACAAACTTGGTGGCAAGTAAGGGAAAGCGTTGTCCCATCCATCAGTCGTTTTGTACAATATAGCAATTCCTTAGATGGTTATTAAATGCAAGAGAAGTTGTATGGGGTTACATGGTGCACAGGAGGAAGAATTTAAAATAGTGCTGTGCTGCAAAGATTTTACTTTTTTTCCTTGAAGTAGTTTAAGGCATAAACCTAAGGCTGCAAACTGTGAAGCAGAATATCCAGTATCCTCCAACCTCCTATAACTTCTCCGCTCCAGCTTTCACAAGGTATGTTGCCCATTAACTCCTTTGTAAGGGGCACAAGCCCATTAGTGACTCAAGTGTTACATCTGTTAAATTCAATTAAAAAAACAAGACAACTTAGATTAACAAGATAATACTGTATTTGCTCTACTATAGAAAGTCAAGTTAAATATCAAATACTAGTACTCATACAATCTTTCCACAGTAATTAATTATTCTGTACTGCCAGGTATTTATTCCTGAACTCTTTCTTCAGATTGAGATGGGAAGCACTGTACCTATGCAACAGCCCTACAGTAATGCTGTAGGCTAACCTTAAACATCCATGAATAAATTCACCACCTGCTTGCTTACTGCATTCATGGGAACAATAGCATGTTCATGCCCTACACAGGATGCAAGTTTTGCCCTAGGACTTCTCAACTAACACTTAGACCTGCTGGAACATTCCAGGCTTATGCACAAGGACCTTCATGATAGACCCAGATCAAAGTTTTATTTAAAGTCATTACCTGTTCCTATCCTTAGGTTTTTTTTTTTTTTTTTTTTTTTTTAGCAGTTACTCACCTTTTCATATGACTTTAAAAAAACAACACTAGACAGTAGTGGTTAGTGTTACAGAGACAAGAAGTGAAATCATACTACAAGCATAAGCTATTATAAAAGAGAAATTGATGTCTTTTAATAGCACCAAAGCATCTCTTCCTTTCAGCACTCTTACACTGCAGTCCCATGTTTTGTTTTTGGTCTGAGATCTAGAACCATTTGAGCCCTCCCCCTGCAGGATTTCTGCCAATTTATCAGTTGCAGTTGAAAGATCGTAATCTTTAAAAGGAAGTAAGAGAACATTTTTAAGTTTCATCTGAGATCAAGTTCACAGAAGCTACATTAAGGTTCTGTAATACTTAATCAGAAAACCTAGCACCACAACATGAAATGATAACCAGCACCTACTTTTACAGATGTTTATTCTGAATGGGCTTTTCAAACTATATTTTGCTAACAATGAAGAATATTAAAAGCAGATGTTACCTTTGTGGCCTGCTAAAGAACAACTTCACTGTAGCTCCTTTATACTGCTCCTTAACTTGTACAGTATTGAGCTGTCTCTTAGCTATTTTTGTGTAGACATCCCTTCCCCTATTTACTGTTTTCAGGTTTGGTGAATTCAGACTCAGTCCTCTGTCCCTCTCACAAACAGTGGGTAGCTTCTTATCTTACTGTACATCTTGTTCAATTAAGGATCTGAATAGGTTCAATACCATTATTCATTTTGAGTTCTGCAAACTCAAAGACAATTCCTTAATAAGCCTTATTAAGACATCTAGCACCTCTACAAGCCATTTCAGGAGTTGTAGAGCTGGAAGAGTTAATCAAAAGCACCTTTAGAACATCTTAGAGCAACAACAGCTGCATCAGAACCTGCAACAGTTGCTAGGGGCTGACCTTGTTTAATTACAATGATTGTTTCATGGTATTTTTTTTTTAAAAAACCTCCCCTGTAAAAAAGACAAAGAAAAATTCTACAATTGCTCACAGATCATCAGATTTCTAAAGGCTTTAAGTACAAAAAATACTGTAAACATATTTATGAAACTACATTAAGGCATAAGACCAAGTTAGAATGCTTTTTACAATAACAGTACTATGATTAAAGGTGCTCCAGCACTCTGCTTCTTAAGGAGCTTCACTACACACAGTGTGTCCATCACATCCAGTGCATTGTACATGATCATAAGCCACTAGGATTTCTCAGCGTCAATCTGCATTTGATGCCCCAAATCTCATGATTCTTTTTGCTGCCAACAGTTGGCCTTGCGATACTTGTAAAGTGTGAACAATTGATCTTCATGTCGGGAAGCGTTTCCTTGAGGAGCTGTAGGGAGCTATCAGTCACTATTCCAAATACCTGAAGAGTCTTTAATGTCGGAATTTTACCAAGTTCTCTAGAAACAGAAAAATATGAAATTTATCATGAACCTGAAAACATTTTTCCAGTCTGTACCCAAACTAGGTAACTGCATTTCTACTATCTTTTTAGAAGTAATGTAACTACTTAACGATAAATCCTCCATCCTACTTTTAAAAAGCACATATTTAATTGAAACTAGTTCTCTCTACTGATAATTCAAGAAAAGGCTGAATAAATTGCTTCTTGCTGTTCTCTCTCTCAGAGTGAAAACAAACTGGTTCCTCCCCTTTCATTTCCCTGGACTTAAGTATTTAGAACAAGTGGAAGGAATTGCCCCCGATGAAATTTCAGGATGTGCCTCAGAGGACACAAGCCCCTAGGTACTATCAGTCTCCAGTTTGTTATGATGTTTTGGTGAGTAGCCAGCCCTGGCTTCTTGATTGCTTCATGTTTGCCCAGTCATCATGTGACCTGTGTATCTATAAGCAAGTACTGGACAAAAATCAAAAGGCAGAGACACAGAAGCTATCATCATGACAGCACACGCTGCTACAGAAAAGGTTCTTCAGATTCCCATTTTGATAGTCCTGTTCCTCTCACAATCTTTTTCTTCTTGTTGACCATTTCCTCAGGATCGACATCCTTCCTGAGATGATTAAGATGGATAGCTGCTATACTAATAAAAGGCAGAAAAAAACTCAAAAGCAAGTAACTCTAAGCTGTGTTTCAGTGGCAACCAATAACTGATACAGGTGCACACAAAAGCAAAGGAATATAAGCAGATTAGCTAGTCAGCAAGTATTGTCAACTCTGTTAACTTTTCCAAAGGACTATACCTTCCTTGCTGCATAACTGAAAGCCAACACTGGTCATTGGCAGGAGTGGAACCTCCAGCTGTACCTCATAGTAACGAATCCCAGCAGTATAATGCCATTAAGGGAAGACATGATGCACGCACTGAGCAGCAAGTTCCATGAGTACAGACTGACATCATGGAAAGATTCTCAGATACCTTTAGTTCCAGTCTGGGTTCTCAAAGGTACATGCTCTAGCAGTCAGGTTATTTTATCTCAGTTCCTTTTCTAATTCCTCATACCAGTAAGTTTTTCAAAACAGTACTTGCAATTCTAAACCTAAAATAAAGCCAGTTTAAATTAACTTATCCTCTGTATGAATAGCAAACCAAAGCCATTTAGAGATTACTTACACTAAGGCAGCAGGTGATATCTGGTAACATCGGCTAAGACACAGATGTTGTAGAAAGATGAGTTGATGAAAATACTGGAAGCACTCAGGCTTCAACATCACACTGTCACTGTACATGAGAGCACATGAAATAGAAGTATAAAGCAGCAGTAAATTTGGTATTTCCAAAAATTCAGGCTGAGAAATTTAATGAGTATCAACTTCTTTTTCTACCACTGAAGTATTTTTTTGCTCAGTATGGAAGTAACCCATTTCGTGTGTGTGTGTTCATGTGTGTGTTTTGCAGGGGAGGGATTCTGATTTTCACTGAAGGGCAAGCGAAGAAGCTTCTCTGCAGGCAGATATTCTGCAGCAGAACTTATGCCATGCAAAGGCAATTACTTTACACATCAAGATTTCAAAATATTTTAATGGAATAGGTCAAAAACAAAATACACTTTTTTTCCCCACAGTTCTATGGCCAAGTAACAAGTTTATACCAGAGCTGAACTAAACCCTCTCTAGGATGCTAGGCTCATAGACTGTATGCATCTAACTGCTTCCTTCCACTCTGCCTATCAACTACAATCGCTTGTTAGTTAACAAATCCTGTATGTATGTAGCATTTATGCTGAGGTAACAAAGAAATCTTCAAGTTAGTTACCTGCTCCAGATTAGGTCATGCCAGATAGCAAATCTTTTGTAGGTTTAGCATAGAAGGTATTTTCTGGTTGTGCAACCCTACACAATCATGCATTATTGCTATATAATTACTGCACCACAATAGACTTGGCAATCCCCTGAACCATAAGGATTTAAGGACTAACTGCACAGGTCTTCTTACCTTAGATCTAAATGGACGAGAAAAGGACACCTTTCCACCAGTGTTTTAACATCTGAGAAGAGGTCACACAGAGTCAGTCTATCTTTTAGTAACAAGACAAACATGCTTTATACAACCTACTCACTTCCATATATGTTCATTTGTATCTTCTCTACTGGAACCCCACAATTGGAACACAACTTTTTGTTAAAAAGATACACACTTAAGACTTACAGCATATAGTCTGCCTATCAAGATACTTTACAGAGACTTCTTTTAACCCTCAGCAAAACAGATCCATTTAGTGCAAAGAAGCATCCCTAAAAGTCAATTGCGCCAGCAACTTAGCAAGTAAATCATTCAAATGATACTGCTGTAGAAATCTACCAAGACACAGTAATGGTGAGATGCCTGAAATTCTTACATGAAATGAAAAAATACCAAAAAATTATCCACATATCAAATACCCTTTCAAAGCATCAAGTTCTTTAGGCATCTCCATTTTTACCTACGGAAAGTTCTTCCCTCATGACAGAAAGTTACA